TATTATGTTTCTAATCTAATACTACATTTGTTAATGGAACGTTAATGTTTCTTTGTGAAGGACTTGGCTGAACTTATATGTTCACCTTTTTTATTTTTTGGCAGAATCAATTATTTAGAGTTTCTGATCCAAATTCTCTTGAAGAAATTGCCGTTTGTTGGTCCTTGTGTAACTCTAGTGCTTGGCTTCTTACTCTTTTGGGGTTATATGAAATTTTTCCTTGCAATGAGCGTGTATTGCCGTCATGTGAAACTAATCTAAACTTAGTTCCCTGACTAGGTGACAATATTTTTGGGTCAAGCACTACTGATGCTGCTGAATCCTTGTTCAGAGCTTTCGGTCCTGTTATTCAATATCAAATTCCATGGGCTGCAATTTTGGGAAACCATGACCAAGAATCTACAATGACTCGAGAAGAGTTAATGTCTCTGATTTCCCTCATGGATTATTCAGTATCTCAAACCAACCCACCAGTTAACTACTCTCCTTCGACTGGAAGTCAAATGATACGAAACATTGATGGGTTTGGGAATTATGATATTAATATATATGGTGCTCCAGGTTCACATTTGGCAAATTCAACTGTCCTCAATCTCTACTTTCTGGACAGTGGAGACAGGGCTATAGTGCAAGGAGCACGAACTTATGGATGGATTAAGGAGTCGCAGCTTCAGTGGCTCAGAGATGTTTCTCAAAGATATCAGGTAACATAGAACAGGTTTAAGATTTTTTTATCCGATAAATGTCACATATGACCTAAACATTGGTGCTACCAATCTTTGATCGTTCTGTTCTATTTATTTACCTTTCTCTGAGAAGCTACCAAAAAAAGTATGTTGGTTATGGCAATTATTGCTATTACCAGATGGGATATTCCTAGATTTAGATTTCATTAACATGTTGCAGGTCACACACTAACAGTGCACAAATCAGGATCTTTTTCCCTCGACAGATGCTTTGCCCCAAAGGAAGCCTCCAGCACTGACATTTTTCCACATACCAATCCCAGAAGTTCGAACTCTTTACTATACAAAGATCATTGGCCAATTTCAGGAGGATGTGGCATGTTCTTCGGTGAATTCAGGAGTCCTGCAGAACTTGATTGCCATGGGAAATGTGAAAGCTGTGTTCATGGGCCACGATCATGCAAACGATTTCTGCGGTAATCTTGATGGTATATGGTTTTGTTACGGTGGAGGATTCGGATATCATGGCTATGGGAGGCCCGGGTGGCCGAGGAGAGGTCGGGTTATAGTAGCAGAACTTGGAAAAGGCCAGAAGAGTTGGATGGGAGTAGAGAGGATCAGGACGTGGAAACGACTAGACGACGAAAAACTGACCAAGATTGATGAACAAATTCTGTGGGAAAGTAAACAATCTCAATAACTCTGCCTCTCAAAGCAACCATGCTTGTATTATATTGTGGCACTGATCTTTGTAGTCTAGAATGCTGGATTCTTGTATCCGTAGTATAGGCAGAGTTCTTCAATATCCCAAATATAATGCTCGACTTTTAGTTCCATAAATTGAAAATGTGGAGTGGAGAAGTATTTATGTATGTTATATTGCTACTTGTTGATTGGACACTGATTTCTCGGAGTTATATGTCTATACTGGTTCATGTTTTCCATTTCTCTTCATTTGATTTAGATTACCCTTTAAAGGTGAGTTATCTTAAAAATATTTTTGATGGGTTAAAAAGGCTTTTCAAATTTTACCATTGAATCTGATTTGACTATAAGTTGAAAAGTGGGAATTTTTGAAAAAGTACATAAAAGCTAATTAAAGTATTTTAAAAAAACGTGCTGATAAGAGAAGGTATTTTATTCAAAAAGCACAGATCTCAAACGCCCTTCAAACTTCAAAGTCTCAATTATTTTTATTTAAATGTCGTATCTTTATTCTTTTACGAAGTTAAATTAAATAGAAAATTCTCATGTGGGGTATTAAAATTTTATATTATGTAAAATTTATCCAGAATTCTTTGCAACAAAAATTTGGGTTAAAATACTACTTTAGTTTTCGTACTTTCATTGAATTAATGATTTAGTTTGTTGATTCTGAATTTTGTAGAGTTTCGAAGATTGACTTCCGATGAACTCAGATGAACCATGAAGGAGTGAGCTACGCGAGGAAAGACATGCACAGTAAGAACAAACACTCTAAAGCTCTAGTCAGTGAGGATTCGAGCTTAGTGAATTGTTCTCAAATAAAATAGCATCCTCGAGTATGTGAAGTGATGCTCCTTTTATAGGTGGCATGGAGGTACAAGTTCATTGTGGCCATTCCAACAAGAGGTTGGGACGGTTACGGATTGTCGGTTTTCAAGTCGATACCTCTTAGGTCGGTCATGTAGAACTCAGGGAATTCTCTAGTTAATATAGCTTCAGTTCGGTTATGAGAGTATGTCGAACTTCTTCTTTTAGGTGAATAAATCTGAATGATCTTCCCAAGCTGAGTTGATTAGTTCATATGTTGTGCACTTTTTACTTTATGAACAGAGTTCATGAACTTTTGTTGTTAATAATTTAGCTCCTAAATTTTAATATATAACAATTTAGTCTTGGTAGTTTAAAATTTATAATGATTTAATCCCTATTGTGAAAAATCTCATCAAAATTAAGCGTCGATTGTTATCATATAATGATTTGGTCTATATAATTTATAAACACATTTAATCCCTCGTCAATTTATAGATCTACGTAAGTTTAACAAAATTCTTTATGATAATAGCTAAATCATTACATATTAAAGTTCAACAATCAAATCGTTATCAATTTGAAAGTTGTTACAAATTAAACTTCATGAGCTAAATCATTAGTTCAATGAAACCTCAAATTTGATATTAGAAAAAGAAAATCATTGAAAAATATATATACATATAAAGGGCTCCAAAAAGAGAAGTAGAGGACAGAACATAATGATGAAAACGATCATTCTGTAGGAGGTAGCTAAGCCCTAAAATTCCCATGCAAAAGTACAAAGTTGATGCACACTAAATATAAAGAATTTGAAACTGATGAAAGCTACCCTCAATTTCTTTTCTTTTTTTCTTTTTTTTTTTCTGGAAAAAAAAAGAAATTAAAAAATATATATGTATATGTATATAAAGGAGAAATATTTAGAATCTTTAGTGATCAAAAGTGATGGGTTTTGCAGTGGGCATTGCGAATCCAAAGGTTACTTGAAAAGGTGAGCCCAGAGAGATCCATAGAGGCTGCTCGATCGATCTTTTTATGTGGATGTTATTAAAAAAGAAAAAAAAATCATATGTTTATTAAAATATAATTCTTATAATTTTTTTTAAAAATTAGTGCCATTACTTTAATAAAGCTTAATTCTATAATTTGAATATTCTTCTTCACATATTTTCATAAGAGTAGTAATTTGAATGTGAAAGATTGTGTTTTTGATAAAATCTAAATGGTGGTTTATAATAATCTCATCATCCATGAAGTCTCGTTTGATTGTCTTTTTTTGATTTCTATAATTTCTTTAATATATTTTTCACTTTCTCGAAAAAAATATATATACTTGAATTCTTAATTAAATTTAAAAAACAAAAACGTTCTAAAAAAACTACTTTTTGTTTTAGCTTTCAAAATTAAACTTAGATTTTGAAAACATTTTTAAAGAGTAGAAAACAAGATAAATAAACATACACGTGAAAGCAGTGTTTCTAGGCTTAATTTCTAAAACATAAAAAGAAAAAATGAAACATTATAATGATTTCTTAATAATTAACTTTTTAGATTCAATTTTTCAAACCATGATAGTTCAAATCCAACATAACAAAATTACAAAAATAATAACCCAAAAAGTAATTACAAATTTACAAGTATCACAAAGAGTAGTTGTTACAATTATCTTAATCAATATTAAGAGCATTTTACCCAAAAAAAAAAAATCCTATTAGCTGAATTTTTTTTCTTCGTTAATTTCATGGTGATAAATATATTAACAACAAATTAATATATGGCAATGTAAATTTTGGATTTAACGATATCAAATAAATGTAAAAAAAAAGTGATACTTAAAAGAAAATATATTATTCATATTATTATGTCTTTGAAATATAAGTTTGTGATGAATAGTGTTATATATATATATATACTTTAAATCTTTATAAGACATTAATGATGAACACCATTGAAAAACTTTTTTTTTCCCCTTCAAAAAAGAAAAACATTGAAACTTTTGGATGTCTTCAACCTGACAGTCAAATGCAAGTAAAAAAGAAATTCTTCCCTTTCTTTCAGCATCAAATGCTTTTCCTCTCCCTTTTCAATTTACAAATAATTTGTAGTTCCACAATAACCCTTCATTTAGATTTACTATTTCGATATGATTAAGAATGACGACAAATGTATTTAGCGTTTTATCACACTTCATTCTTCATCGATGAAAAATCAAGATTGCTCGGACACATTGGAATATGAAATCTTAAAATTCGAGAGTTTCGATAAAGTTAAATATTGTGGATTTCTTTTTTATGCATATAAACATACAGTTATTAACTTTTGATTAATGTACTTTCCTTTTTATGTTGACAATCTGTTGTATTAAATTCAGACCAAATCATTGAGATTTTAAGGGCAAAAAAAAAAGAAGAGAGATTGACAACAACCTTGGACTCCATGTCCATCATATCTGTCATTGGATCATAAAATTTAAAAGGGAAATTGATACTTTTCTTGTAGGCAGAGGAAATCCAATTAATAAAAAGTATCTCTAAGTTTACCATATAATGTTCCAATGATTTCTACACCAACTTTTGTATTATTTTTTTTCCCAAAAAACCCCAACATAATGTTCCAATGATTTGTAAATTTGCAGCCCTCCAGGATCATATAATCAAGACTAATTCGATATAAAGTCGAGACATGGAAAGGGTCGAGAAGGAACATTCAATGCTGCGTTGGGCGGGATCCAAAGTAGGTAGATAAAGTTAAGATTATTGAGGAAGAGGAAAGGGATTGCATGGGGATGAATGGAGGAGGAGATTTATGACTTTGACTATGAAAGTGAAAGCTTGAAGATGGTTGGAATGGAAGGATTAAAGTGTTTGGCTTCTTGGAGACCCAAGTTTTGGAAAACCATCACCTTCACTTTTGACCCAAAAGTGGCCTTCTGGGTTTTGCTCCTTTGCATATAATTTTTCAAAACAAGGTGTGTTCAATAATGTTTGAATCTTGTCTTAATGGGGAATGTGTGTTGTTTTTTTTTTTTTGTTCTCTCTTTCAGATTCTTCTGGTTTTCTGTCTTCTTCCCTTGCATTCTCTTCTAAAGTTATACTTCTCGTCGTCGCTAAGTTATTTAAATATCTTTAAATCCTCTTGTTAAAAGTTATCCAACTAGTATGTTACAAACGAAAAAAGTTTGATGTTAACTTTGATGTCTCGTTGATGTTAGGATGTTGTGGGTTGTGCGACCAAAGTCCTACATTAATTAAAGAAACAAAAGATCACGAGTATATAAGTGAAGGATAGTATCTCCACTTATATGAGACCTTTTAAATGATATGAAAAGTATAGGCATGTAAACTTATGCTCAAAGTAGATAATATTATACCACTTTGGAGGTGTGAATGGTCCATTGTCGTAAACAGGCCATGCACATGAAAGACAATTTTAAGAGAGATATAATCAATTTTCGAGAACGATTAAAGGTCGAGTAGGATAGGATAGAGAGAGGAGAGGGGTTTTAGGGTAGTTGTGAGGGAATAAAATGGTGTACTGTATACTGCAGCAGAATATTTGGTGAGAATGAAAACCCTTTATTTGTTCTTTCTCGACAACATTCCAACATTCTGCATCTTTTATTACATAGAAAGAACAGATTGATAATTA